TTTGGATTCACTTAAGAACACAACCCTGATGTTTACTGCGAGGTTTCTGCAGGGTCTGGCTCCAGCCCTGCTGACTGCAGGCTTCAGTGAGGGCAGCAGAGTTCTGCTTTCTGTAGGGCTTCTCACCCGTCACAGGGATGCTGCTGTGGTGTCATTACTAAAAAATGTTGGCTTTGCTTTTGTTGGTCAATATTGCAAAATGTTTCCTGACATTTCTGCTGTGCATTTTGGGAGAAATCTGTTTCAGTCTTGGACTGTGCTTTTAATTGAAAAAATGCCTTCCATCTAAAGAGTTTGGTTAAGATTATATTTGCTTAATGTATTGGTTTGTTCAAGGAAATCTCAAAGAAAAAAAAAAAAAAAGATTAGAAGTGAGTACTGAGTTTATCAACCAGGCCTGTGTCTGGATTACATTATAATTGTCCTCCATTCAATTACTCAAATATTTTCCTGATCACTCATCGAGAATATTATGTTTTCCCTTCTTCTTGTGGCTTCCTTTTCCTTCTTGTGGCTGGAACTCTGATTTTTCTTCTGATAAAACCTTGTGGCTTTCATTTACTTGGCTTGTACTAGCTGAACAGCACACAGAAACTGAGATGTTGTCAGCTTAATAACTATGAAATAAATCCATCTGTAACACCTAAATACATGCATGGATATGGGTATACATAAGCATCACACCACAATGTTGTAATTAATGTTACTTAATACCTGGGTCTGGATGACTGGAACACAGCAGCTGGAACACAGTTACTGACAATGGTTGCTGTTTAAACATCATTATTGCTATTTTATTTACAGCAGGGATGCTGGAGTCCTTCAAGCAAGGTAGGGCAGGGCAGGACTCCTGCTTCTGAGCTCAGGCTACAGCATACAACCCATGAGGGCTGAGCAATGCTTGGGAAATACTCTTGGGAAATGCTAGTAACACTGAATGGTCACTGGCAAAAAAAAGAAGTGGTTTTCATCACTCAATTACGCTCAGGCTTTGGAGTGGGAGCAAGGAAAGGAAAGAGACTGAAATTCAGGGTGATGCATCTAATACTTGACATTTCTGTAGATCTAGAAAGGGCCATAGACCTTGATACCCTCCATGTCCAACTTCTAGGAGTCTCCAGTTCTATAAGGGAATAGCCTATGTGTCTTGGGAACAAAATAAGAATTACCTGTGTGGTTGAAAACTTCTGGGATTGTGGTGTTCAAGCAATTGGGTAGAGCCAGCTAGTTCATTCTTCCAACCTCAAGCTGTTTAGTTTGTTCAGGGTTGTTTTGGGTTTGGAGGTGTTTGGGGTTTTTTTTAGGATAGTGGCAATGTTGGATGAGTTTTGTGCTGAATTCATTGTCAGTGTAGGTTAAAACCAATTAAAGCCTTGCTGTCTGTCATGGTTCAAGCCCAGCTGGCAACCCAGAACCACGCAGCCGCTCAATCACTTCCCTCCCATCTCCTTCCTCCCCCAGCTCTCGAAGGGATGGGGAGGAGAATCAGAGGAATGTAACTCCCACAGGTTGGGATAACAGCACTCCAGTAACTAAGGTGTAATACAAACCACTACTGCTATCAATAATAAGAGGAATAACAAGGGGAGAGGACACAACCGCTCACCACCCGCTGACCGATACCCAGCCCGACCCGAGCAGCGATCTGGGCCTTCCGGGTAACTCCCCCCAGTTTCTATACTGGGCATGACATGCTGTGGTATGGAATACCCCTTTGGCCAGTTTGGGTCAGGTGTCCTGTCTCTGCTTCCTCCCGGCTTCCCCTCCTCCCTGGCAGAGCATGAGACTGAGAAAGTCCTTGGTCAGAGTAAACATTACTGAGCAACAACTAAAACCATCGGTGTTATCAGCGTTGTTCCCAGGCTGAAAGTCAAAAACACAGCCCTGCACCAGCTACTGAGAAGGAGAAAAAATGACTGCTGTAGCTGAACCCAGGACACTGTCGAATTACCTCTCAGAGAGAACTGGCTATCTGCCAACTGCCTACTTTAGGACTTTCCATAAGGGTTAGATGGGATGTGGGTGCCAAGATGCAAAGGTCTACCATGACAGCAGCAGTTGTGAGCATGCACAGTAGCAGAACCTGAAGAAATTTACTGGCAAAAACACTTGGAAAACAAACAACTTGGAAATAAGCAACATTTGTTTTTTTTTTCCTAAGACTGCTTTTATTATCAAGTACTGTGTCTTATTTTTTGCATGCCTTTGCATTAAGCTGTGGCCTGTGCAAGCATGTCAGTTTAGTGAAAATGGAGCTGCTTATTTCTTTTCTATGTCATCAGTGATAATATGGAGTAAGACCAGATATGAAATGAATTGCTGCTATGTCCAGAAGCCAGGCTGTAGACCTGTGTCACTAGTTTTATTAGTGAGACAGTATTGTTGGACCTAGTGATACCATTGCCATCTGCATCAAAAGAAGATGGATTGAACATTGCTGTACAATTCACATAATACTTTTGCAATCCAGGGCAACTGCATTGTATTTTAAGTTGGAAAGTTTTTGAAGAACTTAGTTTAAATTAACAGTCTTCATCTATGACAGTTTCTGAATTTTCTTTTTTTTTTTTAAATAAATTTGGCATTCCACCAATTAAAAAAAATATATATATTTATTTTTCCCTGTATACTTGCCCTTCTTCATAGCGTCATAGAATCATAGAATGGTTTGAGCTGGAAGGGACCTTAAAGATCATCTAGTTCTAAACCCCCTGCCATGGGCAGGGACACCTTCCACTAGACCAGGTTGCTCAAGGCCCTGTACAACCTGGCCTTGAACACTGCCAGGGATGGGGCAGCCACAGCTTCTCTGGGAAACTTGTGCCAGTGTCTCACCACTAGTGAAAACTTCTTTCCTAATATCTAATCTAAATCTCATCTCATCTTAAAGCCATTACCCCTTGTCTTATCCTTCTCCAGATTTCTCGTAGACCCCCTTTAGGTATTGGAAGACTGCTGTAAGGTCTCCCCCACTCTGTTTTTATTTATAGTCGCTAAGATTCCAAGTATGCCTTTCTGATCAGTCCAAACTTTTCTCAGAAATCAAGCAATAATATAAAATGTTGCATACTGTGGGCAAAGCAGATGCAACAGATGCAGCAAGTAAAATCACTGATGAAAAAAAATAATGGAAATACATGAAGGTTTTTCCTATGTGATACATAAAATCCGCTTCATAGGTGAAGAATAGTATCAGCTTCATGCTCCATGCAATTTTCAGTGATGCCTTGGGCAACATTTTTAAATATAGGTGCCTTCTGGTCATCTTCCGAAGTCAGCCTGCTCAGACAAAAGCAGTATTTAAATGGATAGATTGGGGTTTGAATATGCATAAGGATGATTATTCTCTTTTGGCATCTTATGCATTGTGTATTGAATGGGTTTAGTGTTTAAACTGATTGTGTAAAGATAATTTAACAGGAAATATCAACAAAATTACCATTTTGGTCCAAATGGTTCTTCTCTTCAGCATAAGCAACTCTGCAGCAAGTCTGCCCCATTCATGCTACTCTGGTTTAAACTACTCTTGGGAGACTCCAGACTGCTAGACTAAAAAGCTAGTGAAAGCTTTTATATAAAAATAACTATATGGCATGTGTTTTTATAGCTCATAAAGATACTCAGAAATACTTTCTTTCTATTTCATTATTATTAGTTATTTTGGAAACCTTTGTTTTAAACAGAGCTGTCATAAATAGACTCAGCAGCCAGTAAATCCACTGGGCTTTCACAGACTAGAAAAACATCTGCCTGTTCTGCTGTGCTCGACTCCAACCAAATGAGAAAATGTACTTTGACAAGCTGAAGTAACCCCCTTAATAAAGCGTAATTTACTTCCAATCAAGTCTCCTCCCAGTCGTACTTTATTCCAGCCTCTATGTGATTTTTCAGCTGGATCTAAATACTAATTTGCTTGCTTTTGTTATGTTTAATATGGCCTTAAAGCTGCAGACCTGGATGCTGTCCTGGTGCCTGCCTGTGAATCACATGTGAGACACACCTGAACTTCCTGTTGTTTGTACCAAAACTGCTAAGATTGTGCTTTTCTGTTTCACAAATGCTGCTGAGTTAAGGTGGTAAAAGTTGTCATTAATAAATTACTGTTCAGATGATCTGAGTAATAGTTTTTATCTTTTGCTTTGGTTCTAAACAGACAAGCTGGAGAGGAGCTAACCATTTTTTGGTGGTTTTTTGTTTGGTGTAGGGTTTTTTTCATTTATTGTAAGGGCAGTTGTTTCTTGAATGAAGTCTTACTTGTGTGGGGTTTTAATTTGGCTTTGTGAACTTTGAATACGAGGTGAGCATGGGAAGTATCAGTTTTCTGCCTGTGAGGGTGGGTGGGTCACTGCTGGCAGCAAAGAGGTTTTTTTAAAAAGCTGCAGAAAAGAAAGCTCTGACTGTTCAGAACTATTTTAATGCCTTCAGTGTTCTTTACAAACTGGAAGCGATGAGTACGCCAAGTTACAAGTGTGGATTTCTAAGAATTAATACAAAATGATGTTATTAACACTGGACTGCAGGAAGGTCTAAGAGCAGGTGCCTTTGGGGAATTTACTATAATAACTAAAACCAAACCCAACCAAAAAAAACCAAACAGACTTTTTTGTTTTAAACATAGCCCTCTTATGAGTAGATTGCTGATTTCTAGAGAAAAGTGACAAATTGAAGAATGAATGTGGAAGTGTTCTAGTGGGAAAAGGCCATCTAGGCTCAATGAAGATTTTTGTTTACTTTTCCAGCATTAGTTAAATCATTTTCTGTGACTAGCATTATTTCAAGGAACTGAATATCCTATGTTGCAGTTGAGTAAACTCTGAAAGTCAATCCCTTGGACAGCTGAACATGTCCAGTAAATATGTAATCGCACAATCCGATTGAGTTCTAAAGCTAGTAAGCAAACAGCTCAAGGTCTTAAGAAGTACTACTATTCACTGCAGGCTTATTTTTTATGTGATATGGGCTGTGTTGCTAATCAGATGTGGTATGTTTCTGTCTTTCAGATTTACCGCTGGATTATAGATTTACACGATTTTCCTCAAATAGGTCAGCCACTGCCGGGTACTACCCAAGCCCTCCAAGAGTGATGCTGCCAAATGAGGAGTCAGTGACTATGAAATAGGTGGTTGGCTTTTTTCCTAAATAACCCTGTGGCCCTTACTTAGACTGCTATCAAATGCTAATTGGTGAAAATGCTAATTGGTGAAAATGCTGTGTGATGCTTCATAAAATAGAATGATGGATTAAAGCAAACTCCTGAGTAGACTTCTGTTTCACTTGTTTCTCTAGTCCAGCCGGAACACATGAGCATGCATCTTTTTCCAAATCTTCCAACCACCACTACCTTTTGCAAAGTGCTGTTGGCTTTTCCTATGCACTGCCCAAAGCCTTCAAGAGATATGTAATAATAGTAACTCATCCCAAGTTACATTGTACAACTTCAAGGACATTTTTGGTACTACCCCTGTGTAAGGTGATACTATTACTACCATAAGCCCCAGAAAAGACATGAACCAGATCCTCAACCATGTTTCATTGAGTTACCTTGGACAGCCCAAGTTATCACCATAGATCAGTGTTTTGCAGGTTCTGAGGAATTTATTCTCCAACTGTAACTATTCTTGGAGATGCAGAAATATTGAGGCCCACACAGAAAGATACATCATACCCAAAAAGAGATTTGAATGGGATTTAGGTAAATAAATGCAGAATGAGAGTCCTAAAAGCCTTTGTCATGTGCTTTGTATTCCTCAAAGTGCGTAACCACTGTTCAAGGTAAGTAAGGGAACCAGTAAGGTGTCCTTCATTCCTTTTCCTCCTTTAGTCTTCAATACCTCGAGTCAGAGCTCTTCTGCAGAAGGAAGGAAACCTCAGCTTGAGTGGATTCAAACCCTTATTCTCCACCTCCCTGGGAAACCCTTCCAAGAGTAGAAAGGATACAGCACCCAGATCTGTAGAGCCATCTTTGCTAAGTACAGCCTCAGCCCAGAAGAGAAGCAAGACTGAAGGCATAAGCTGAATATGTGCTTTCTTACCAGCTAATTTAAGAAAACAGGAATCCTGTTCTCTGCGGATTCAGTTCGAAAGACCTGTTCTCCAGCGCTTTGGACAGGGAGCCTTTGGTAACTAACACAGGGTAGCAGATGCAAAATCATGTCAAAGAAAGATACTTGTTTAGTCAGCAGTTTTGGCACACTAGAATGGAAGAATTTTGGATAAATTTCCCTCAAAGTTTACAGAACAATAAACAGAAAATGTATTTCCTTTTTTTCAAGAGAATTTTCTTTTTGAGACCTAGAAAATTACTAGAATGGATTTAACTTGTGTTAGCACTTAACTTGTGTCACCACAGCTTACTCTATAT